TGGGCTCCCTACAAGGGAGACCTGGACTTACCAGAGAGAGTCCAACAAAGGGCCACAAAGATGAAGGAACTGGAGCCTTTCTCCTGTGAGGAAAGGCTAAGAGTTTGGACTATTTAGCCCAGAGAAGAGAAGGTGTGGAGGGTGGATCTTACTAGTTCATATAAATGCCTGAAGGGAGGGTGCAAAGAGGACAGAGATGGGCTATTTCCAAGAGAGCTCAGTGATAGGACCAGAGGCAGTGGGCACAAATTGAAATGCAGGAGGCTCCATCTGAACATCAGGAAACAATTTTTTTTTTACTGTGAGGGTGACTGAACACTTACACAGCATGTCCAGCAAGGTTGTGGCATCTCCATCCTTGGAGATATTCAAAAGCTGCCTGGACACAGTCGACTAGGTGGCTTTGCTTGAGCAGGGGGCTTGAACCAGATGACCTCCAGAGGTCCCTTCCAACATCAGACAGTCTGTAATTCTGTGATACAAAATATTTATGAAAAGAGTAATCAGTAAATTATTACTAAAAGTATGAAGGTTAAAATACATACATATTCATACATTTTCTAGCCACATGATATGGCATGAATACCAGCCTCATTAGGAATCTGTGCAGTATCCTAGAATTGCTCTGGCTCTAGAGCATAAAATACATGTTTTAAGAAGGTTGTGGTCAAAATGTTAACACCTTTTTTTTTCTGTGCAGAAAAAGAACAGGCATATAAGTTCATGCCAAAGAGCTGCATTTTATACTTGATGATACTAAAGATAGATGTGCTTTCAATGGCAGAACTTACTTGGAATTTTGCCTGCTTTTCAGGCAGGCTTGTAATTTGGTAAGAAGACCGATCTACTGATTGTGGGTGTCTCACCCGTGATATTTTCAGCAGTAAATAGCTTTAAAAATTGTTTATAAATACTTTTAAGCTTATTTACACACAGATGCCTTCATAAAGCTCACTGCTGTTTACAATTTCTAGAGGAGAGGTACTGATGATGTGTGCAGAGCCCCTGCCTGTTTTTTTGAGTTTCCAAATAACCTAAGTCAACTCTAAAGGCCTAAATGTGTCGTTTCATGACTCCCGAGGCCAGATATATTCAGAGATATCTTTTAAAAATAACTGAAGTTACAATGTTGATTCTTTCAATAGAACCAGACAAACAGTTTCGACATTAATTATGACAGGGACATATTATGACAGGGTAATATTTCTTTCACTCTGTATTCAATGTCTGCACATACTATACAGTAAAATGACAAATGATATTTTCTGTTTTGTCAAAGGTTTAGATAAACACTGCCTAACACAAACATGTGTGGGCCTGCTGAACACCTCCTTTGAGAAGTCTGGCAGGCAACAACCCTTCTGCAGGAGAATAAACAAAGCTGCCTAAAAACCAGTCTAGTTTTCCAGGCGTGAAGTTAAATATTTGCTACAAATGTTAACTTCCCACCACGCATCTGTCCATCTTCATTTACTATTCCCCCTGAGGGATTGTCCTCCCAGGTGACAAGTGAAATAAAGGTTTCAAAATTGGACAGTGTTACCAGATGTAAAGAAAACAATTCAGCAAATCACAGCTGCGAGAAACTAACAACAGGGATGCTAGGGAGATCTCTCCATGCTAGGGAGATCAAAGGCCATCAAAACAAGGCTCCTGGAGGCCTTTTTCTTGGAACCACTTGTCAGGGAAATGTGTGCTGAATTTCTTGATTGATATGGGAGCCTTGCTTAGGCTTCTTTTCCTTTGGAGGGAGTGGTCCACATTTCCTCTCATCACATAAGTTAAGAACCTGCCTCAAATCAGAGACGAGAAGCACCCATGCAGGTCCTGAGATGTGGAAAATACTGCTGCGGAAAGGCTGATTTTCTCTTCCATCTGTGTGTGTGTGGAAAAGACAGCATGGGTGCAAATTGCAGCTGTTCAGAAAGAAAATCTGCCAAAGATCTAATTTCACATGCAGAGGAACTTCTCTTGCTCTTGTGACACAACAGAAAGGTTTCATTTTTGTGGCATTACAATCAATCAATGTTATTTGTGTATAGTCACCCAGGGGCCTCTGCTCGGGTGTGGTCTCTCACATCTGGCCAGTGCTGGCTTGGAATCTGATGACTGTTGAGCTCAAGGGAGCCTGTTATTGACCTGTTATTTAATGGGAAGCTTCTAGTCCAAGGCTTGCTGCTCCTCAGTTCCCAGAACATGAGAAGGACACTCACAGCACAAGAGTGAATGAGAAAGCAGGATCACGGTCCTTGTTATTCAAGCACAGACTGTGGTGACTATTAAGCAGTTACTCCCTTTGCTCATCTCAGTTGTCCTTTCTCTTTGTAAAAGTAGCAGATGATTTGGCCGTTCTGAAACTTTTTTTTCACATTCCCCCCCCTCGCCCGCACACCTATGGGGAAGTGTATGTTGTAGGGACAAAAAAATTGCTACAGCTGCTGGCAGCAGAGTAATGGTGTCAGCAGGGGGCAGAAAGTTGGAGTAGGGAATCTGGGGGACAGATAGACCATAAAATGGGCTAGGGAAAGGAAGGGAGAAGGAAGAGGAGGCAGGATGCAGGCATGACACTGACCACTGAAGAGCTCTCAGAACTGCCCCATGACATCACAGAGGAGATCCTTAAACGTGACATAATCACTGCAAACAGCTGCCTTTTGGCAGTAGCTCCCAGAAGCCTAGGTCTATTTTTGGTGCTGGTCCTTCTCCACACTGCCTATGTCTCCTGGCAGAGCCCTTTGTCACAGTCCCACTTCACACTCTGTCACACTCCCAGCTCCAGCTACCAGTCCCATCCTAATCCCAGCAGCTGCAGGATAAAAAGGATTAAACTTGTATTGCTACAATAAAAGCATGATTAATGCAGATGACTGAAGGTTTATTATGCCACTGACATTTGGTCTGAGGAAGAATATTCTTAAAGAAGAATATGAATGCTGTATTGTGTGGTCCTGTTATAAATATTCTAATTTGGAATAAACTTTCCTGCACAGGTTAAGATCCACCAACTACTGACTTGTCAGCAGTGTCACTGAAAGTGTCAGTGTCACTGAAAGTGTCAGTGTCACAGAAGATCCTTACTGTCAAAAACCTTTATAATGTTTTGCTTGCCTTTTGAAGGACTGTAAGTTCTGTTAATAAAGTAACTGTGCTCACAGAATATATCTGGATTCCTTTAAGGCACTTGACTTAGTACCAAATTGTACAGACCTAAGAAAGAATGAACTGGATTTACAAACTGTTTTACAGGCTGGTTTACAGTCTCCAGGAGTTGCTACTGATGGTTATTAATGTGGTGTCAGTGAGCAGAGTACCAAAGCTCTCAGCTCATGGGACAAAACTCTTTAATAGTTTTATAGGTATGAGAATTATACGAAATCTGTGGCAAAGTCTGCTGCTGATAAAAAAGTTTGTTTTGCTAGCAGATAATGAAGACAGATTACCGTAAGAGTAAATTAAATTGCTTCATTAAAAGATAACCAGTCCAGCAGTATTTTAACACTGAAATACTTAGTGTGATGTTGGTTTGGGGGAAACAATGACACAAATTGTATTTATGAATCAAAGGCTTGGATTCTGGTGAGGACCTAACAGTAACAGTGGATAACCACCCTGTCATAAACTCTTGAATAATGCTGTACATACAGAGCATGTAATCTTTGAATGCATAAGGGAAGAATGCTGCATAAGGCAAGGAAGTGACCCCAGTATTGTTCCCATACATAAGGATGCTCTATGGCTGGCAGCTTTTACACTGCAGCAGTCTGTGGACCATACCTAACACAACCCAAATCACGTGGCATTTACTGCCCCTAAGCTTTGCACCTTCTCAGCACACCTCAGAAGTCTGAGCACCCCAGTCTTGTCTCCTTTCTTCCCTTCCTGAGCCTGGTAAATGCTACTCACTGCAGTGCCAGTCCTTGCAGAGCCCAGCCCTCCTCCAGCCCACGTGGTGGTTGCTTCCTCTCACAAGCAAGTGCAGACTCCAAAATAAAGCTGTTGAGTAGGTAGAGCTTGGGAAGAGGAAGAAAATTTTGAAGGGGTGTCACAAAGGGCACTGTCTCTCAGTGGCATAGGGAACTGGGATGCAGAGCATCCCCAAAGTGCCTGAAGATGAAGTTTGGAAACACAGTATGTCCCAAGACAGAAAATGTCCCAAGCAGCTGGACAAGAGGCAATGAGCTGAAACTGATGCACAGGAAGTTCCACCTGAATACGAGGAAGAACTTCTTTACTGTGTGAGGGACCATGCACTGAAACAGATTGCCCAGAGAGGTTGTGGAGTCTCATATTCAGGAACTGTCTGGAAACAATCCTGTGCAATGTGCTCCAGGATGATCCTGCTTCAGTAGGAAGGTTGGACCTGATGACCCACTGTGGTCTCTTCCAACCTTACTCATTCTGTAATTCTGTGACCAACCCCCCCAGCCCCACTAATTCCTTAAAGCCAAAAGTTTAAGAGTCTGCTATAGATGGCAAGGTCATGTCAATTTTTAAATGAATATGCATTTATTTATACAAGAAGAAAGGCTGCTTCATATTCACGTGTCTGTCACACAGGGCAGGCCCAATACCACCACCAGGGCCTCGGACAAGGGCACACCTCGTATCCTTTAGAGGTTTTAAACATTTTGGGAAGGTATCCCAGAGCTTCCCGTACAACTCCTGTCTGGGATTTGCGGGCCCCACGACACGGACGCCAGGCCAGGCAGGCCAGGCCAGGTTGTTCCCTCAGACAGCGCCAGGCCGGGGTGCGGCACAGCCTGCCCTGACGGCTCCCCAAACCGCCACCACCCCCTCGCCCCGTCCCGTCCCCCCCGGGAAGGGCGGCGCGGGGGGCGGTGCGAGCGCCGGCGGTTCCGGGGGCCGTGCGGGGCGGTGCCCGCGGCGGCGGCGGCCGGATGTGCGTGCTGCGGCCCGGCCCGCCCCGGCCCTGCCCCGCCGCGGCCGCCCGGCCGCGTAGACGGGGCGGCGCGGCCGCCTCTGCCCGCGCAGCCGCCGCTCTGCCGGCGGGCGCCATGGAGGACGTCGGCTCGGGCGTGAACGCGGACGCGGAGGTGCGGAAGCTGCAGGAGCTGGTGAAGAAGCTGGAGAAGCAGAACGAGCAGCTCCGCAGCCGCCACGGCGCCCTGCCCGCCGCTCCCGCCAGCCCCAAGCGCCTGCCGAGCGCCGGGCCCTCCCGCCGCTCCCCGGCGCCTCCCCGTCGCCCGACGGCCGCTGCCTCAGCCTCGGGCCGCCGCCCGGCGCTCGCCCCCCGAGGAGCCCGGCGGCGGCGAGGGCGGCGGCGGCGGCAATGGCCTGTTGGACGAGGCGGCGGTGCTCAGGCCGGAGGAGCTGGAGCGGCTGGCCGGCTGCGAGGAGGACGAGACCGGCTGGTGAGGAGGCGGCCGGGTGTGGGTGGGGCGGGGGCAGGCTGGGGAGGGAGCGGGCAGGGCTCCGCGTCCCTTTCCCCCGCCGAGCCCGGGAGGAAGGGTCCGTTTCCAGGCGCGTCCCTGGTGTCGGAGAGGGTCTCGGGGCTTTGTGTGCGGAGGCAGCCTCGCCCTCTGGGCTGCGTGGAGGGATTAATTAGCTCTCCGAGACGTACCGAAGCCTGCCGGGGAAGGGTGCTGTGCTCTGTGCACAGCACATCGCACCTCCCCGCAGGCCTCCGGCGCCGCGCTGCTGTCCGGCCGCGGTGGCAGCGTTACACCGAGCCCTCGGAGACCCGGCCGGCTCCAGTGCTGCCGCAGGATCAGCCCTCGGTGTTTACGCGAGTTCAGGACGTGTGGAAGCGTTGGGAAACTTGTGGGAAATTTCTTGGATAGTTCAGAGTTTGCCCACAGGTGCTGTTACACTTCAGACGTGTATCAGGCGTGTTTTATGCCTGGATTTCTTTCGGTTGTGAAGGCAGCAAATGTAACACGCTTTTTTTGGTCTCATAAACGTATTGCCCTCGCTTGTTGCTAGTGGTGTAGGACCATGGCTTCCCTTAGGTGGTTCGTCTTTCTAAATGGATTGCTTACTCTGCTGCTCCAGCAGAAACACCTGCAAGTGGCTGTTCGCCTTGTCATTATTGCACTTGGATGAGCTTCCACTGAGAATCAGGGTTTGCTTTCCCGAAACATCACGCTGTTGTCCAGCTGTCGTTTTGAAGTTTCCTATGACAGTTGTTCAGCAGCTTTAGAGCTGCTGGAGAAATAGTGGGGAGGAGCACAGTGTCAACAGAGAAATGCAAGGGAAGCATGTACAGGGAGGAAAGGTGTAACACAAGCAATCTGACTTGGGACAGAACTGGTTGTAGGTTGATATGAACGGTCTTTGGAAGCAAACGTGCAAATTTAAAAAACAAACAAAGATGTCTGTCAGATTTAGAGACGCCTTTAAAAATGCTGGAATGATTCCATGCGTGAGCAATGTTTTAGTTGCTTAGGGAGGAGACAGTGTGTGCACTTCCTTGGAGAAGTCATTTGCCTGACTTCCAGCCTGATCCACTGGAGAAGTATGAGAGCATAAGTTTATTCTCATCCAACGCTAAATTAACACAAGGCATCATCTCCCAAATGACAAGTTTGTGCAAGGCAGCTACTCTTATTTCTCAGTGTATGCCTTGTAATCTGCTGGCATATAGCCCTTGATGGAAATAGAATAGAGTAAATTTGCACAGTAAGCTTAGAATGGAATGGCCAAGTTTCTCAGTGTCATGAACTCTGGTGACAATAGATGTTATAGCTTTATATGTTAATCCTAAATCACGGGCAGTGTCATGCATCTCTTCAGCGAGAGTTAATGTCACAACACAGTGTGTGGTGACAGTGGTGCCATAAGTGCTGTGTTTTTGTTGACACGGTTCTGGACACTGGCGGGGCAGCCGCAGTGCTGAGCACTGGTTTGCTGGGCACTGCTCTGGCTGGTGTCAGGTGTTTGGCACGTTACTCATGCTTCCAGTTCTTGTGGCACCATCGTGTTTCTGTGCAAATTCTATTCCTCAAGAGATAATAAAACTTAAATGCAGTCTTTTGCATGTCTTCATTTCTTTACTAGCGTTTGTTAAGTATAATGCTAAAACATGTTTTAACAACTAGTTCAGTCTCAGATGTGGGACAGTGACTGAGTGTGATAGTTTGGACACAAACACACCTAGATAAGAGCAGTTGTTAAAATTTATTTGTTGTTGCACACATCACAAAATATGAATGTGTGATTAAAAAAAATTGTCTTTTCCTACTCTAGTTTAATATGCAGTTAATGATAAATGCTCAATAAAAATGGAAGTCAAACTCCTGGAATTTCTGAACACCTTTTAATTCAACTATCGAGGCACTAAATACTTCAAAACCGTTTTTGTTTCTTATGAAGGTAGGATGACTTTGTATTTGTGCATTTGATGAATGGAGGTAATTGCTCTAAATAAAGTTTGAAATTTTTAAAGGGCTAGTGGAGCAATCAAAAAGAAACCAGCCTGTGAAGATAGGAGGGATGATGCGAGTAAGTGGATTTCACTTAAACTGTTTCGTGAAGATCCTGCTCTTAAGGTCTTGGTTATGCAAGTTCTCTCAAAAAGTAATTGAATCAACTGAAAGGGTGAATGTACTCGATGAGATTTAAACTTCATATGAACTCTTTCAGGTTCAAATGGATTTGGGTCACTACTGCTTGACCCAAAATCCTGTTTAAAATATGGGATTATACACTGTAAAAGTCAAAGATCACTTAGCAGCTGAGGAAATCTCTTGTGGAAACAAACTAAATTTAAATCATAGTTTGTGCATTAAAAATTGATTCATCTTGCCTATTTTGCATGTCTGCCTAGAGAAGCTTAGATTTGTCTTTACTTTTGATTTCAGAAGGACCTTGCTGTGGGTGATAATAGATGATAAAGGGTGCTGGTTATCTCCATTCTTTTCTCTGTTTTGTATAATACAGACATTTTCATACTCCATTACAAAATTGTCTGCAGCCTTGTAATGTCAGAAGAAATAGTTTTCTTCACTGCAAAAATTACAGTGTTTTACATTAATGCTCACGTGAGATTAGTGGCTGTGAATTTAAGATGGAACACTTGATACTGTGAGTGAAGTTGATACTGGATGTGACATGTTTTTTTAAATCTACATTTTGCAGTTTATCAGCTCATTTTTAGCTTTTAATTCTTTAAATTTAGATAAATCTACACAGGACAGAAATGTAAAGTGAAAAAGCGAAGGAGAAGGTAGAACTATCTAACAAGCAAAGGAACTTTGATACTGCTGCTTTAGTAGCGGCATTAGCTATTAAAACAGCATTGCAGTATTAGTGAAACTTGGGACTATTTTTTTGCTTGTTTCTTCTACTTTGCTGTTGTTAATTAAATCCAGATAGTTTTAAACATTTTAGCACATCAGACAGTCTTCAAATTATATGGTAAATTATTAACAATATTTCAGTGAATTTAGGTTGAGTTTCTTGTTCATATGCTTCTGAATCCTGTTTAATGTGCTGAAACTTTCTTCTTGATAGGGTTCCAAAGGTTGCAGATGGGGACATCTGCACCTGCACACAGTACTGAGCTGTACCCAGTCCTATGGAGGCTTTGCTTTAGGCCTGCTAATTATTTCCTTAAGTTATCCGTGACTTTCGTAATCTATTTTATGGGTATTCCTGTTTAGCTGTTCTTGAACCAGATTGGATCAAACTTAATTTTTTTCAAATTTCGATCTGAAGGGGTCTTTTCTTATTAATTAATTAAAAAGACAAAATGCCAGGAGAGGGGACATGAGAGAAGTGGTATGCAGCTCCTTCCTTGCCTGACTTGCTGGGTAAGGTTAGGGTTGGGTGTGGATGTGTAGCACGTTTGAGACACCTGGGTAACAGTGTGCAGGGTGGCCTGCTATGCTGCTTTTAAAAAGAGAGCTGTCTCAAGTTTATTGCAGGATGAGTGTGCACACGTGGGCAATTACTGTAGATTAGTTAATGTGCTGTCAATCCACTCTAGCTTGCTTTGTGGTCACCTGGACTTTCTGAGATGAGTTCTTTTTATGTCAGCAAAACATGTGGTGCTTTTCTTCAAAATTTACTTGCAGCATGTGCATAAAAGAATATAGAGCATGCTGTGTATCTATTTTGTGTGTGTAATTGCTCAGCAAACTTGCGGGCAGTTGTGTCCTCTTTCAATGGCACTACTGTAAAAACTAGCCTGGCGCTTCACAGTTTTCTTGTCAGTTTCATGACTGAAGTCTCCTTGGTAGGGATGAAATAGCTGCCGGTTGATTGAGCTTGTTAACAAAAAAAAGGCATCTATTGTGTTTAAAATGAAATTATTGGTGAGTTGTTTCTATTAACTTAGTCATTCAAACTAATGGTTTCAGTGTTTTTTAAGACCTCAGATTGGTTGTGTATCCTGACTAGTTAAAATGGACGGCACATACTTTTACTATTATACTCACTCTCACTCTGCAGCTATTTTTAATTTGCACCTATTTATAATAGTTAATGTTTCTGTTCTAGCCATGCATTGTCTTTAGTTGGCTAAGTGGCTGTTTAGAGATACGTGATTGTCATCTGTAATGATTGTCTTCCATCTCATATTGCTCAATGTCCCTTGGGCACTACTATTATTTTGGAATCCTAGTTTACCACAATGAGCTAGAATAGCATGAATATTTTAGGCTAGAGCTCCACCTGAATGAAATCCCATTGCTGAAATTACATTGCAGCATTTCCTGTTCAGCTGCTAAATTTCATTGTATAAATGTGGTTTAGGCCTCTTGGAAACCGGACAGGTTCTAATCAATATCTGTCCCATGGTCTAGGTAAAAGAGAAACTGATGCTTTTCATTTTGTGGCAGATTAAATGTCAATTTAATTTAAAGGTGTTTTTAACCAAATTCAGATAATGTCTTCACAAACTAGGAAGATATTATGAAAAGAAGCATGTGGGAACCAAGGATTACAGAAGTTGCCAGTTTCATCAAGTGAAACAACTGGTAACATCAAATAATATTCAATTTGACTAATGTCTCTGAGTTATCTGTGTTTATTGTGTAACCAGTATTTGAGGACTGGAGGAAGAATCCTGAGGAAGAGCTTCTTTCCATTTCTAACTTCTTGTATGATATTTATAACTTTAAAAGATTGTTGATATTTAGATATAATAAAAGCTTTAATACGAGTTTCCTTTACTGTCTTAATGATATTTCTGAAATTTACTTCATAATCATGTCTTGTTTAGGCATGATTCACATTTCTACTACTTGTAGGTAGTGTTAGAACTCTCAAGCCTAGTCATTAAGCAGAATTTTATCTTGAAACACATTTAATAGGATACAGAACTTCTCAACTTTTCTCTTTTCTATGTAAGTATCAACAATGCCACGTTAGAGCACATGTGTTTAACAAATTCCTTATGAAAAGCTTCTCAGTGGACAGTGAACAATTTGTGTGACAATTCTAGGGAAGCTGCATGGTGGTGTTTTTAAGGCCCCATTTCCCATTCTACAACATCTCTTTCAGACACCAACATGTTCTTTTGGATGAGGAAATGAATAATGGCTATAATTTCCTATAACTAGCCAGGGCACAACTAACTATCTTTAATTGTTGGTCAAAGAAAAGTAGATGTGTTCCAAATTGCACTTTTCAACCTCTCAAATATTCTTAATTCTACTTAAAAATTGCATCAATTAGCTGAGATGTGCTGCTTTAATATGGAGGTTTGATGAGATTGCCAAAGCATTTTTGTAATGTTCATATCCTGGAGTTGATATGAATAGACTTGAAGTTTACTGTAACTTGTGCATCCCTCAGAACTAGAAGCGTTCTGTGAGGTGCAGCTGAAAAGTAGTAATTACAGGGTAAGCAATGTGTATCTCAGCCAGTTACAGCTGTAGCATAGGAACTTCCTGGGGTGGCAGAAAAGGAAAATCTGCAGGGCAGATATATGCAGTAATGTCACTTAATGTTTGGGTGGGTTTTTTTTCTTTTTACTAGAGATTCTCTTCAGATTTTTACCTATTCATTCAAAATCCATTTTAAATTTTACTTATTTAAATTGCTTCAGGTAGGGTTTCCTGAAAGTTTTAGCTTGATCTAAAAAACTTTAGATTGACACTGTTGTGTTCAAGATTATCTGTTTTCAAGACTGTCCAGTATTATTGTCTCCTGATTTAATTATTTTCAGTAGCTTTTCATTGTGCATTTCCTTTTTGTATTTTAGAGGAAATTCTGACTGTTCTGTCCTTAGATTTCAACTTTTTCTCCTCATCATGTCTTTCAGCCTGCTTTTGCCTGCATCGTGTTTTGTCTGCTCTCATTTCATTAAAGCTGTCGTATCTGTCATTTGCTTAAAGCTAATGTAGCTAAAATAAATGAGCTCTAACTCAAGTTCCTTCCACTTGCCATCTTCTTTCTAATTCAAATCAATGACTTCATGTTAATCTGCATGTTTCCCCCTCACTCTTTTACTGACCAGTAGAAGGATTTTGCTATGAAGACTCTTCTTTCTTCCTGATTAGATTATTGGCTTCTGGTTTTATGCCTGTGGCAACTAGCCTCTTGTATTTTAATGCACTGGCAGGTGTTCCTCAGGTGAGGTAGTCCCTACACAGATATTCCACTCCTACCACAGTGTCACGTCCTCTTTTCAAAGCCCTTTCCGACTCAGTTGTGTCCTAGTACAATGTGCTGCAGCTTGCCCTATTTGGCTGACATTAACATATGTGCTTATAGTGACAGTAGTACTTCTGCAAAAGCTCTGTAGTTTTCTGTGCTGCATCTTTCTGGAATTAATCAGTAGAGGCCCTGGCTGCTTTCAGCTTCAGGTTGGTGCTGCTGTGGCATAGTTCACTAGTGACAGCCAAGGGAAGGAAGTATTACTGTGTGCAGCAGAATCATAGTGTCTGGGCTTCTTAATGCTGTTTCAAAATAGATCAAAGCTCCTGAGGATTGCCCCTTCTTTTTATATACTGTTTTCTTTTACTTGACCTTATGTCACTGGACTGTAGAGTCTTTACTCTTTTACTCCTTTGTGGAGAAATTGGAGTGTAGGTTTCTGGTGTGTTAACATTTGTAGTATGTTACTGTAAGTTGTCAGCTTCCTCAGTCGTTTTCAACTTCCTGTTTTGAGAAAGTGATTTCTAGTGGTTAAAGATGTATGAAGTTGTTCTGGTTGTCTTCAGTCTTGAAGTTGCTGTGCTGCCAATCCATGTAGTTGCATTGCTGTAGAATGAATTAACAGGTACCAAAGGGATCTCTTCTGGAAAGCTCTTCAACCAAGGAGGGTCAAACAGTAGTCTGACAAAGAAGATCATTTAGCTGTATGAAGTTATTTGTACATACTTCATAGTCTCTGTTCCTTTTCTGTTCCTGCTTTTGGGAAGAGAAAGAAATAGTAGAGGCATCACTCTGATTCTTAGCCTTGTCCTCAGTCCTTTTGGTTTTTTTTTTAAAATCCAAATTAGGCAAAGCTAGTAGAGTTAAATCAATCTCAAAACTTGAGATTGGCTCTTCCTTGTCAGATAGGACATTAAGATCACTGCTGTGTAATGAGGCTTCATAATGGCATGATGTGCAAGAAACTGCCCTGAAAGAGCTGATTTGTTACCACATCAGTGTATATGTGTGTGTCCTGTGGTAGTGGAGTTGCATGAAATATGTATATCCTGAAGTTCTGTCCTTTTTTTGAAGTTCTGAAACAAAGGCTGTTAAAGGAAAAGCAGTTGACTGGAAAGAGGTGGGAGAATATGCAATATATGTTTGGTTAGAGAGGAAGGTGGAGAAGTGGGAGCTGTGTGGGAGCTGTGTGAGCCTGGCTTTACTTCAATAAATAAACTACTTGTGAAACAAATGCAGCAGCTGGAAATTGCAGAAAAGAATGTTAAAATACCAGGTGCAATTTTTATTAGAGCAATTCTGTAGGTTTGTTGAAGGTGCCCCCTTTGTATGTCTCTCAAAGAGGACATGCACTTTAATGCCTTTTTATACTGGGTGTTACTGTAAACACTTCAAATGTGCATGGAACTTCTCAAAGACAGCAAGGCACGTCAGCTATCCAGAGAGCTAGGAGGGAGTGTGTACAGGACACAAGTTGGCTTTGTTGCCTTTGACACTTCTGTGTATTGTAAAAACATACCTTAGGACAGAAAAGAATATAGGTAAATAAATGCTAAAAAGACAGACTGTTAGAGACAGCAAATGTTAAACATTACTTTTAACTATATGGAGATAATTGCAGAAAGTACAGAAAATTTTGTAATTGTTTACACAGAAGTGTAAAAATTAGGTGATTCTTGTTCTTTTAAAGGATCTTCAGGGCTATAAATATGTGATGGGCTTTCAGCTCTTCTTGTGGGCATAGTGCCTGTGAAGATTGTAAGGATTTCTACAAAATAATTTATAACGTGATACTGGCCAGAGCATAAACCACTTGAACTACAGTAGGTGGCAGCGGCTTTTTGCCTTGTTACAAACAGCTTCCTTTTTTGTTTGAAAACCTGGCAGCTAATAAAAATCTTGTTTCCTGTATTTGCAAGCATAGCTTGCTAATTCCAGTGTTTGAGGGCAGAGGGTTTCAGGGTGAACTCTAAACAAAGATCAGTGTTTTGGGTGAGATATTCATGGTGGTTTTATAATCATACTTCTTGGGAAGCTTTTTTAAGAAGTGAATTTAATGAGAGTAATTAAAAGAATAATCTTTTAAAGCTATTATAAAAGAAACAGTTCCAGTTCTAGAATTACAGAGGAAAGATCAGCTAAATAATCTTGTAACGACAAAAGTTGTGGGAAATAACTCCCGTGTTGCCGATGTCATTGGCATAAAGAAAACAATTTTTTGCTGTCTGTGTTGTAAGGAAACATGGCTGATTAGACTGTCAGAGGTTTTAAGTTACAGTGTGTGGCATACAATCATATTCACTTGGAACATGAAGTCTGTCATTACTCCTAGAAGAAACACTCATTTAGCTGTTCTTGCATATGTGTAAGCTCTAGTTCTGGCTGTACATCTTGCAATTCACTGTTGTCTTTGCTGAAGCACATTTCCAAGTTTGGTTCTATTCCAAAGTAAGGCTTAAGCATTCCTGTTTTGAATGTGTGATTGGTTATGACTTTTCCTTTACTCTCTCTGTTGAAAGAGGAGACTTTCCAGCTAAATTTCTAGTGTCTTTTCACTGGAATGCTACTTTCTTCAGTCATGGAATGTTATGTTAAAATAAATTAATGGACATGCTGACAGACAAAGGCTTCAGCATGTCCTCAGAATAATATGATCTCATTGTTTCTCTCTACTCTCCTATGTGCATTAGCTCTTTTTCCTTGCTTCTGATGCTTGACTGTATACCCTTTAGGATAGAGGTAGTCCTTTTGTTCTATGTTCAAAGAAAATGAAAGGATCAGATGGTAGGATACAAATCATAAGCAAAAATAAAATGCTTAATGTTCAAGGCTACTGAAATAGTAGTTGTGTTTTATGCACTGTAGCACTGCTCCTTGGCTGTTAAGATAATTGCTTGCTACATCTTTGGTTAGGAAAACAACAGTTCCCTATTGCATAGTGCTTTATTTCCTTCTTTCAGCTGAATGGGACTTAAATCTGAAAAGATAATCCTGATTTGTGCATTTATGTGATACAGTGAAATTGTCCATATGCCTGAAGTGTCTGAAAAGGCCTTTTTTTTTTTCTTCCCTTGTATATCAGTCAGGTATATCCTGGTATAGCAAGATAGGCAACACTTTTTGCCAGAAGTCCTTGAGTAACCATATGTTATCACTTCTGTGCTGTATCCAAAAAAGTTAATTTTAAGCTAAAATTTGTGCTTCCTTTTGGGATTATATTACAGTATAGATAGAGTATAGAAATAGAATAGTATGCGGTATTTTGTTGCATGCCTGATCTTTTGCTCATTTTATTTGTCCTCATATATGATTTATTTTTTTTCCCTCTTTTCCAGGTTATATACATCTCCAAAGAAGAAACTGACTCCAGGGCAAAAATGTGTCAGTCCATTAGTTTGGTGCAGGCAGGTATTGGATTACCCAAGTCCTGACGTTGAATGTGCTAAAAAGTCACTGATCCACAGGCTGGAACAAACAATGTCAGGTGAGTTCTTGCACACTAAAGCCATTGAGTTTTATGTATTTACTCTGAAACAGAGTCCAAATTAGCTGATAGTTGTGAGATAAGACATTCAGCAATTACTTGTGTGTTAAGTTTTTGTTGTGTTTTACAAGGAGTAATTAATTCGACTCATTTTCTGAACTGTATGAATGAAATGAAAAAGCGGCATTAGACTGTGCGTCATGATTTCAGTTTTATACTACCTGCATAGTTTGGGCAAATGTTTTCAGGAAGAAACAGTGGTTTTAACTTGAAGGTTTTCTTGTCCTATTTTAAAATAGAAGCCTGTATTAAACTATCATAATTGTTAGGTGCTTGACAGTATGTTAACATGGTTTTCTGCTAGATTACCTATTTTATTTCATCTCAGGAAATGGAGGTTTAAGTTTGTGAATACTTTGGGGAGGTAATAGTGATTTCTTTTCCTCCCATCCCCAGTAACTTAAGATCTTGTTACAATCAGATTAAAAAACCCCAAAGTTCATGATTCTTCCTTGATACAATTTAGTTGGTTACATTCAAAACTGGAGTGTTTGACCCTGTGAGTATGAAAGCCTACATTCTCCATTGTTCTAGTTACCAGCATTTTTTATGTCAAACCAGGAGCAAAATGCTCAAGGACTGATTAGAATTCTCTGCCCATCTGCTTTCTTGATTTATTTTAATTTCTTCATTGGAGCCTGTTTTTATTTTCTAAAACATTCTCCTGAGACAACTTACTTTCTTGCTATTGATAGCAATTCTCTCCCTGTATTTCCATCTTTCTGCACTCTGCTGCGTTTTTAACTGTTATGTTCAGTAATTTGCAGAACAACTGGACTTGAGCTAGGAGTAAGTGAACACACACAGCTCCAGGAGTGTTCCCAACTACCACCTTCTTTACATGCTTATATGTAAACTTTGTGCTGAGTTTATTTGACTGTAGCTTTTTTCCCTTCCTTGGATCCTTTTCTGGAGTAATTCAGTCTTTTTTCTGGTTTGTACTAAAATTGTTCTTAATAAAATTTGAATCCATGTTTTATTCTTATAGAAATCATAGGCATAGTGGTAAAAGTGCCTTCAGTATGAGTCACCTTTGATCTTCTCCTGTTTCTTGTGCTTTTTTTACGCTGCCTGGACAAATGTCTATTAAAAATTTTCCTGAACAGTTAACATGATACATGATTTGCTACAGGCAAAGACTGAAATTCTAAGCAAAGAAAAATACCCAGATCACAGGGATTTACAAATGATGATCCAAGTTTGGGAATCTGAATACTACTGAATATTTAAGACTGGATAGCAGTTGATTGACCTAATTATTTTCATGGTTTAGCTTCTTTTCATAAATGAGTAGAAGTCTTCTAAAAGTACCACAAATTCTGTTACCCTTAGGGTATATCTTTAAAAATTCATGGTTGAAGCTGAATGGCAGGAAACTTCCCTATGAAAGGCACATATTTGAAAGTTCGATCATTCAAACAATGTCTTTAGGTAGCTTCACCTCATTTTTTTTCCTTGGATCTGAGAATCTGCCTCTGGCAGTGATACTTGAAAGAATACTGCAATTCATCTACAGTGCTAATAGGGGAAAATACTAATGGTGGAAGAGATGAACACTAATATAAAATTGTTGATCATCAGCCCTCCCCTTTGGTGTTTTGAGAGCTAATGTGTAATCTTTTGTAAGCTAGTGTTTTATCCAATATAGGATCATTTTAATGTTAAAATGAGTTATCGGTCATGCTAATTTTGTCTGGCACTCCTAATAAAGAACACATCTCTATTTGTTAAATAGCAATGTCTTCCTGAGTTACAGAAATCCCTATTGGAAAACCTTTAGGAGTTTTGGGCCAGAAAAGAGTTTGAATCCAGCTTTTTTTTCTGGGAAAACGTACAATGATGAGGAAGGTAGAAGATCGCATTAGTTAGGATGAAAACTACTGTACATATCACAGCTCATCTCGTACCAGAGCAAACTTTTTATATGTAGCAAAAGTATGCTCACTTTCATCTAAAGAAATCTGTGTGATCAAATATTTTGTATCATTATTGGCATGTACAAAGAGCCTGTTTTGAAGGTTATACAGTAGTACGATTGTTTTTTGTGTTAGTATTTTAAAATATTTGTCTGTGTAATAAGTACAAAAGATCTGTTGTGCAGTCTTACATTTTAGAGGTTTTTTTACTGACACTTTCTGCAAGAGATGAAAAGTAAATTTTTTTCAGCGTGAGAAAAAAGATTCAGTTCAGATGGTTTAGGATTCCTATGTGAATGCCAGAACTTGCTATCAAAGGAGTGGCTTCTTTGTAAGTCAGCCAGAATACAACGAGTTGTAATTATTGCTTTTGTTAACTGAGCTTTGTAATAAAATGGGTATTTCCCTTCTGACATTCAAAATAAAGTGGAGGTACCTCAAGAATACTTGTTAGAATTCACTGAGTTCACTAACTGGTGAAATTAATGCGTATCGTTTAAGTCTTGCAGTGAAAGATGAAATATAATTATTCCATTCTTCATCTATAGCTGTTTTTTCACTGTAACTAAAATACTGGTAATACTAACTGGTTTAGAAAGTACCTTTGCACAAGTGGCAATTTTAGGAATTTGCTTCAAAGTCAACTTTAATTTCTGCTGGTTTTGCCTCTGCTGCATTCTGCCATTGGCTTGGTTGGATGACATGTTTTTTTAGGCCACTACTAAAAATTTACTTAGTGATGCCATCAGTTAAAACACTGTAGGTATTTTTAACTTAAATCCACTTTAGTAGGCCAGATGATAGCATAGCCCCACCATTGTTTGTACTGGACAGCTGAGGAGGTGTAGCAATTAATAGCAAAGGGAGGAGGAGGAGGAGCTAAAGCAGCCTATGCTGCTGAAAGCAGCATTTCATGCAACTATCGTCTCATTTGGCTTCTTGTGATGTCAAAACAGCAGTGATTTTTAGTAAATAAATTGGAGTTCAATTCCTTCTTTTTTTGTCCACTACTATCCATATTGCTACTGTGCTTATTGAAGCCCATTTTCACTAATAGAAATGTCTCACAGCATTCTCTGAATAGCTTACTTTCTGCAGCTAGGTGAGCTGCAACTTAATCTTAACTAGACTTACATACCATCAAATTAGGATCTCTAGCTTTCAGCTTACTGTTTTGCAGGTTTATTTGATCTTTTAGACATTTCTGTATAAATATACTTTCAGCAATGAAGGAACTGATTTTTACCAAAAGGTGCCCAAATTTCCTTTGGTACCCACTTCCCCTGTAAAAATTCCATTCTCTAGTATATTAAAATAAAATGTAAACTTTTGAACAAAATAATCAATTAAGTAACTATGCAAATCATACACCTGGCAATTGGGGGAATTGCAGTATCATACGGAAGATGTTCACTAGTGGTTAAAATTTATCTGAAAGTACTTTAGCATTGAAATATTTACAGTAAATGGCAAAGGAAAGTACCTAATTTAGATCTTATATTATATATGAGGTTGAAGCTCGCGGACAAAAAGTCCTAAGTCATTAGAACAGAAAGGAATAATCCCTACAGTCAATTTGCTTTAACCTGGTAGGTTCATGGTACCCAGAAATATAAACAGAAGCATTTGCCTGGCTTAATAATTTTTCATTTTAGCATATGCTTAGGGAAATTTTGTAGGTGGTATTGCTTAGTTCTGTGGAAGTATTGTGAGATCTACACAGGTCTGTGAGTTCTGGAGAACTCAACTTCGTGGTGTGCTCTGGTTTGTATGCAATTGTGCACAGGATGTACATTAGAAACTTAGCTACTACTGTCCTCCTGCCTCCCAGCACCAACACTGCACATCTTGAAGAGATCAGCTGTAGTGATCTTAGATCTGAGTGCTGTGATGAAAGTACTTACCACCATCTTGTCTTGTCCTTTTCTCCCACCTGTGTCATGATATGGTTATATCTAGGGGGTGAAGAAAGTTGAAAAACTTCCTGATGTCTGAAATTTTCTACTTGAACTATACAGTTATTAAATCACACTGAAGATACCATATAGTATTGTATCTATTTTTCATTGGTTCCTTCAGTATAATTCATCGCTTTTCTCCTCTTTCCTACAGCTCTCAAGAGACAGAGTTTGTACAGCAGCCCTTTCAGTGCGGTCAGTTACGCGAGCTCCTATAGTCCAAATACTGGTAGCCCCTACAGCAGTGGTTTTAACTCTCCCTCCTCAACACCAGTGAAATCTGCTTTAGTGAAACAGCTCATACCTCCTGGTACCTCAGGTAAATGACTGTGTCTAGTCTTCCGCTCTTTTCTTCCTCCTCTTCCTTTCAAAAACATGGTCAGATAGATGACCTTTGCATTGAACTAGAGAAAGAAACCAAAAACTTGTCGGTCTTTTGTAGGATGTTTGTATCACGCAGTATTTAAGCTTTTTAGGAAAGCCTTTTTTACAGACTTTTTGACATGAGATACTTATTAAATGTTTTGTTTGGATGTCCATGTCCCAAAAAATCACTAATGTATACTGGCAGTTAGATTAAACACAGAGCCTTAGTCCTGTGGAGTCCCAAGGTCAGTAAGTGGCTTCTGGCATTGACCGGCATGGAAGTTGCATGGTAGGTGTTCAAAACTTAGGTGTTGGTAGTTGTGCAGTCTTTGTAACTACAGTTGCAATAGTTAGTACACAATAGGTTTGCTAACTGAAACATTTGGTATGCAATATATCCATCAGTACCTCTGAGATGTGAAGTCATACTCTTGGCTTACTATTATATACTTTAACTCAAGTTAGCTTACAGGGAAGGTGAAAAAAGCACTGCATTGATAGTCCAGCTCTCTGTAGTTCACTGTGGACTTGCAGAGAAGCCTGCACAGCACCAGAGCCATTACTCAGGTTTTGTTTTCATCTCTCTAACTCTGCTCTGCATTATGTCTTATAATGGTGTGTCTGCCTGGGGAGGACAGAGATGTAACAGGCAATGGGATACCAACCAGAAGGCAAGCAAACAGGAAGAGTTTTTCCTTGTTATAGTTTCCATGTTATAGTTTTAGCAAAGGTGTGTATGTGGAACAGATAGTATTTTCAGATAAACTGTATTTTAAGCGTTCGAAACTGAATCAATATTCATTGGACCGGCATGTCCTTACCATTAAGAAAGATATAGTCAAACTCATGTCTTACAAAGCAGTAACCAGAGGTGAGAATGAAAGTACAAATGGAACCAGGTATGCAGTTGCTTTTGTTTGTAGAGCTGTGCAAACTTCATAGCAGTTGAAACATGGTATGATAGACCAGACTATATGCCAATAATTTTAGTTACCATTGCAATGATTTAATGAAGTTGCCCATTTTTAGAAGGTAATGGCTAAGCTCTGCTTTTGAAAGTTATATTTTCACCCTAGATTAGCAATTGAATGTTTCAAATGGTCTGTCAGACTAAATGTCTCAGTAATAATCTGTTTTCAGATTGGTGGTTCTTTTACTAGGAAAGGAAATGCACCTCCTTTTTTGTTTTGTTTTGTTTTTGTGGGTTTTTTGTTTGTTTGTTTTAAGTAACATTTTCTCTTACTTTATTTTCTTTCCATAGGTCATCTTAAAAGTTCAGGAGATAGAAATCCTCCACTAAGTCCACAGTCCTCTCTGGACAGTGAATTAAGTGCATCAGAGATGGATGAAGACTCTATTGGGTCTAATTACAAGTTAAATGATGTTACAGATGTGCAAATTTTAGCACGAATGCAGGAAGAAAGTAAGTGGCTTTTTTTCTGGAGAAAAAAAAAAAAAAAAAAAACACCACCAAAATCCAAACCAACCAAGTGGAGCCATTGGGGGTTTTTATTGAATAACTCCACTAGCACTTGCTTAGCAGTAATGGAAAAGGGATGTAGATTCTACAGTGAATGTACAAGTGTAAATGACCCAGGAAAGTTAGTTAAGGACTTAAGACTTCAGGCTAAGGAAAGGAAGTTACTGTGCAGAATTGTTCTTTAGGAACAATGGACAAAAAATGCTGGAGAGTATTTGCTACAAGGATGGTGGTTAGAATAGACTACTGCCTGTCACCATTCTTCTCAGGAGATATATGCCTTCCTGATGTAATCCAGTCTTGTTGACATCAGTGCTTAAACCATAATTTAAATCACCAAAATGTAAAATCACTTTGGCAAAAAATAGTTTAAAAAAGCACTTATGTAGAAGTCTCTGCTTTATTATAGCTTTAGTTGAGAGTGTCTTTTTGTCCCTCTGAGTTTGCAGAAAGTGGTAATAATAATTTCAGTTGTCTAATTGGGTGGTCTCCTGACTATTATAACTGTTAGCAGTTATAAAAACCAAAACCAAATGCATTTCTTTATAAATTATGTACGTGTGCTACCCTAATATAATAGGTACACAAAAATGCACAAATATATGCAAAATTATAAATTTTTAAAGTATGAGATAAAGACCAAATAAATGCTGTTTTAAAAGACTGGTTTTACATATTTTTCTCCTGTCCACCAGTGTTTTGCGTACTCCTGGGCATGTGGGCACCACACTTTGGAGACCACTGATCTGACAACTCCAGACTCTCTGGGGGTAGCTTGTCATGTTGCTTGTTTGGTTACATTAACTAATATATTGCAAGAGACATTTCTCTGTGGCTGCTATAATTGTTATAGGATGTTATATGATACCAAAATTAGGGTGTAGCCTATGTTGCTCTAATCCAGCCTGGGAGAGGAGAGGAACAAGTACACAACACACCTATACTGATGATTGCCGTACTAGGAAATGGAATGTGCTCACCTACTTATTTCAAGTCCTTATTAGCTGGTAGACAACTTTTTGGTACTAGTCTGAATTCATGTAGTGCCTCAAATAAAAAGTGAGCCAGATTTGACTTGAGAACTGTGTGGATGTTTGTAGGCACTGTCTCTAGTTTGCACCATTTGTGGGCTGGAAGCAAGTAAACAATGTTCTCATTGTTGCCAGGCCTCCGGCAAGAGTACGCAGCCACTGCTTCTCGGCGTAGTTCTGGTTCCTCTTGCAATTCTACAAGGCGAGGCACGTTCAGCGACCAGGAGCTTGATGCGCAGAGCTTAGAAGATGAGGAAGATGGCACACATCACACAGTGCACCCTGCTGTTAGCAGGTTCTCACCATCACCTCGCAGTTCTCCCTGGCCTTCACCAAAACAATCTCCAAGAAATTCACCTCGCTCCCGCTCACCTGCTCGAAGCATAGAGTACAGTCGAGCCTCACCACAGCCTATGATTAGCCGTTTACAGCAACCCCGTCTTTCACTTCAAGGCCATCCTACAGACTTACAGACTAGTAATGTCAAAAGTGAAGGTAAACTGTCTCAAATTTGTTGCACAAGTAGTTTGGTTTGTGTGCAGTACTAAGTCTATATGCCTGTGTAACATCATGGTTTAATCTCCAAATTGTTGAAGAAAAAGCAGAGCAAGCAAAGCTTAAGTTCTGCTGGGGAACCCTTACAGTCAGATGATTTGATAGACTTATATGTATTTTAAATGTTATCCAGTCACTGAGTATAATTAAGTTTCATGGTGACCAAGGTCTATCTTCGGCAGGCAAATGCACAAAAATAAAGCAGGGAAACTAACGCTGGCCACTAGGGTTAGGCCTTGCAGGTGACAGAATAAAATGCAGAGGAAAGTAACTGTGGTCAGATGAGGATAACATGGCAATTTATGCATGCTTGTAGCCTGTGAGACAGCTGAATGCTTTCTTCTGGCAGCACAGGACTCTCAACTCTGACAGTGAACATGGCCTTAAAAATGTTAGTACTTATGCATTTGTTGGGTATTTTAGAAGTCTCAAAGCTGTGTAAATTGCTGTGTGATAAAAAATAAAGCTTGCAGTAAACTCCGTGCAGTTATACTATATTGGTGATTTTTGTGCTGTTTAATGTTGCTTGGATGTTCAGAGTTGATGCAGCAGCAGCCAAAAGAAGTTCACTTTTTTATTTTTTTTTGGTTTTTTGGCTAGAATGTTTGGAGGAAAATTTGGTTGACAGGGTTCAACAGTGTACCAACTGCAGTGTGAGTTGCAAAGTGCAGAAATTACACTTGTAGGAATATTCAGCCAATGAAGATGTCATTTTGTTTCATCTTTAGTGCTTGTGCATGGTTAATGTACTTCTTCCCTGCATCCCTCTGCAGATTCAGGTTGGCCACTCATCCTGTCAAGGCATCTGCAGTCTTCTGTCCAAAGTATGTCATCAACCCAGCTCTGCATGGGTTGGAGATACACAGAATGTCATTAGACTTGAGAAATATTCAATGGCATCTTTTTGTGTTCTGTGAGCAATGGTACAAATGTTAGTAGACCCTTGAAGAATCAGTATTAGCTGAGTAGATAGTCAAGTCATATGTGAAAGATGAAGCATAACTGGACACTTCAATAATTTTGAATGCTGTGTATGAAGAGGTTCTTTCCAAGTGGGTGGCTGTTATTTGTTGTATAATGGGCTGATATGGGACGAGGCAGTCTCAAAAATTTACTCAAATACCTGTTTTTGCTCCTCAGGCAAGCATTCTGTTATAAATAGCTTTCTATGTAAATAATTCAATAATTGTGTAAAACTGCAAATTAGGTTTGTCTATCCAGTTTTCATAATAGTACAACAAAACTTAGAGAATCATAATCCAGTTATGTTTCAATTTCAAAACACAATATGCTTGACTTTTTTCACCACATGTGAAAAATGTACATTCTTGATTCTTTTAGATAGATAAATATTCTGTATGTGATAGATATGAGAAGAATTAATGTAACAAAATATGCTTTTAAATCACAGTGTAGTTTTACGTGGCTAACATTTTGCATCAGTGAGATTTGGAGTTCAGCTACAGATTCACAACCTGACCATTGTCCAGCATCACACTACATGTTGTGGTATCTTTGTATTATTTTGTACAGAAAAACTAAGGCGTAGTCTTCCAAACCTGTCCAGGACATCTAACATCCAAGCTGAGTCTGTGAAAAACAGCAGAAGTGACTCAAACTTTCAAGTGCCAAACGGAGGAATACCTCGCATTCAACCTCAAGCCTCAGCCAGTAAGTACCCTTAGTGCCACTTCAGTGTAAATTTCAGAATTAAGTGATGGTACTTGGCTCTCTTCCAGTTTCATGGCAAAGTGAAAACACTGCATGCCACACTGGAGATGCTAATCCTGATTTTTAATCAGACCTGTGTGAATCTGCTTTTTTGGTACACAAAATCTGGTACTCATTACATTAAAAAAGTCTGATTTCTTATTAAGGTGTCATTCATAGTTTCCTAAAAGTGTATATACAGCAGTAATATAAAGAGTATAAATACAGTAGTTGGAAATCTCAGAAACTGCTTTTTTTACTAGGCTCTGAAAAAACACCTGTATGATGTTTAATGGTTTTTTTTTAACTAGTAAAACCTGATCAGAAAATACTCATTTAAGTTTAACCCTTGCAGTTTCTTTTCTTTTTCCTTTTTTTTTTTTTTTTTTGGCACCTGGAAATCATATATTCAGTTCCTGATTTTATTTACTTTTTAAAGTGTCAATTACTTCCTAGAAAAGGTTTGGATGAACCTGTGTCCCAGGAAACAAATTGGCCCATTGCTGAACTACTGTCTGCTATTTTTTCCAAAAGTGAACTGCTGATGTGAGAATGCTGCTAATCTCACAAGTCTCTTGAAAATGGTGACCTTAAAGAAGCCAAAGCAAATGAAACTTAAAATATTCAATGTTTCTTTATATGTCAATATTACCAGTTCCTGTTGTTTAAAGGTTTCCTGACTGTTTTATTTTAAAACAAGTTTCTGAATTTAATAACCTTGTGTGACATTTTAAAGGGAAGAACACATTATGAATATTATTATGTGAAAAGCCTTGAACTATAAAAGTTATACGATGAAAGTTTATTAGTAATCTAAATATTTGATGGGAAATGTAAAATAATATTTTTGAATTAAACTAGAGGGTTTTTTTAACCCAACAAACAATGGAGGCATACAGGTAAACCTAGTTGGTCCTCTCAAAACTTATAAAACAGTGTGTTGATGCTACCAAATACAGTTAAATACAGAATATGGAATACAGACCATGCCAAATACTACATTATTTCTGTCTTTGTACTGAGTCAGACAAGATGTAAGGGTTGTGTGGACAGTTCGTCCCAGGTACGTGATACCTACTGTAGTCAAAAAAGTTAGCGTGACTTTATGATTGGTCATGTAGATTACTCCAGCATCCTTTTGCCTTGCCCTCCTTCTTCCACCATTCACAAACACTCAGAAGGTGGGATTTCCAACTGAAAGGGCACATGTGTAGTTCAAATGCAGGAGTGTTACCTGTTACTCAGGCTTATCAAACTGTAAAGTATTCAGAGCAGTTGGACAGTAGCTCTCCAGCTGTGCTATTTCTGTGATAGGAAGAATAGTCAAAATGACCTGAAAGAAAATGAAGGAAAATTATTTGTAGGTAAAATCTGTACAGATTTTATTTGGTGTTTTAAAATAGAGTGGATTGGGAAGGGAAGAGCCCAGAGGGCAGTTTAGAAGGCTATTTCCAGAATGAAAAGTATATTCACGGTGAAACTGTGGATAGATCAGACAACAGAAGTGTCAATATTCAGTACTTAGTCCATTACTTCATTGTAGGAACCAAAATGGTGTGACTATGGTTATACGTTCTTTTTTTTTTTCCCAACTTGTGGTTGCATTAAGAATCACAGAAATTATTAGGCAAATTTGCTTGCCTTTCATGGAATATTTCCCCAAATGTGAACCGCTCTAGACCAACTTACATTTAAATGTAAGTGAAGTATCATTAATAAAGGCCAGATTTCTAGCTTTTACAGTTTCCCTGCTCTTACAGATGTTTGTCAGAGTCTTGCTATTGACAATCGTAAAACGGTTTGTGTATGAAGTCAATGAGTAAGTATCTTTGCTTAGTCTGGATTAAAAAATTTTCTGCAAAAATGTACATTGTATAAAAATTTCCAGAATTGTGTCCTTTTTTATCGTATACTTTTTGTTTTATTTGTTTTGTATTTTGTCACTTTGCACAAAGCACTGTTAAATTGCAGCAAATTTTTGTTTTCCCTTGGCAATGATTTCTGGGTCTTGGGATTTCAAGCTTCCTCATACACCTGCTAGTTTTGCATGAGCTTACCTTTGCAAGGATGCTGGCTTGCCACCTGAAGTCACTACTTTTCTCCTTGTCAAGGATTTGCGGTTCATAATTTACTTGCACATGTGCTGTGGCTGCAATACTGAACTCGCTATGGTTGCTGGCATTCAAAAATGAGCTAGGAATCCAGTAAGTTTCTGAAAAGATAATTCCGCTTACGGTTATATAGGCAAATTGAACACGCTTACAGAGGAGAGGGAAGACACGTATAATATGTTTAGAAGTACAACTGTAAAACATGCAAACATTTGACACTTCAAGTTTTAGGTGCAATGCAGTGAACAAGCCAAACTGTTCTTGAAAAGAGATTGAGTGAATGAAATAACAGTTACAACAATTAGAATTTTCATTTATGTCTAATTCTCCATGCCATTATGCAGAAAGTACTTTTTTATATGCCAGTTAGTAAATATTTCACATTAAAACCCTGGGAGATATGGTAATACTTGTGCTGGGCTCCCCGAGGAATAGGAATCGTCTAAAGTGCCAGTGATGGGAAGTCTCTGTACTTGGGTCCTGCACCACATAGACTGTGCAGAGCTGTAGAACTTGTAGGATGGCTTCCATGTAGCTGCCTGCTTTCTAGTGGATTGTGTGACACCTTTGGACTTAGTGGCACTGTGAGCACATGGATTTTAAATCTTTAAGCAGAGATAAATACAATACTTCCTTGAAGAGCTGTAGATTGTTCAAACTATCAATGAAGTGACAGTCTGCTTGCCAAGATCCGACTGCTTGGCATGTTCAGAGCAAAAGGAGGAACAGTAAGTTTTGAGGAAGCTATTCCAGTTTGGTTGATCAGAAATAAAAGTAACCACGTGTATTCAGTGTGCACCATTTGTGACAGGGAATGTCACAGCATACAGAGCACTTCAGGAGCAGCAAATAGTGTGGATAAGTATGCACTCTGTGCTTATCTCAAACTGCATGTTTCCTCAGCATTGCTCAAAATGTACTGCCTAAGTTTTTTGCACTGTGGTTCAGCGCACAGAAATGTTTAGCTATTGAGTGTCTATTTCATGGAGTCTCCATTGAGAAGGAAGGAATTTGATATATATGTATTTAAAATTCTTTCCGTATCTCTGATTTGCAAGAAGTGTGAATAATGATGGGGGAAGAAAGTGCCATGTGCGGTAGCATATTTAAATCTGAGTGAATTAGGGCAAAACAAATTCAAAATATGAAGGAATAAGCTGTTCTTTATTTTGTGTGGTAAACCAAAAACACTGATTCAGTAAAAAATGGTATAGTGAAATACTTGAGGACTGAAACACTGGCCACTGGTCTGCCTCAGTCCATTTCTAGGAATTGTGCTCACTTTTGAAGATCTTACTGTGCTTTATTGGCTGTTGATGGATATGCCTTAAAAAAAGTTCCTTGGAAGACCTTCTGCTAGAACTTGAATAAGAATTGCATATTTTGCATTACATTCTAGTTGGTAGAAGGAATAAGGTTTTTATTCTTAATATGCACAGGCAACATTTTACTGTGTTTATGAACACTTTAATTCCTTTTTGCTGTTTATTGTAAACGACAGTTTTAGTTATTAAGACTGAACTGAATAGACCCCCTAGTCATATTTTCAGCATGATGTTGAAACATGTGGAACTTCTTCTATAGTTCTCAAAATACTGTGAAGTTTGCACTAACTGAAGAGTAGGAAAGGTGGTGGCAATTATTATATGCTGTTGAGTTTAGGAAAGGATTAACTACTGTTACTAGGATTCTAATTGTTCTTCTCCTACCTTCTTTATAGTGATATTCACTGATTGGTGATAGGATTATTGAGCTTCCTCACTCAGGGTCAGGATCTTTATGCACAGCTCTTCCCCTATCTTTCTTCCTTCTCACTATGGAAATAAGCCTTGCTAGTGCAATCAGTTTTATGCTGGTATAAAACTCCATACAGGTGAGCAGAGAAGTTTATTCACGTATTATCATTTTACAAAGACTGTGTGAAGGCAAAGCATTGTTTCATTGACTGCTTTCCTCCTTCCCCCCTTAAATATGCTGCGGTGAAAATACGCTGAGTCAGTGCGTTCCTTTTGGCAATAGGTAATTCTCTCCATGCCAGGATCCTGCAGCTCTTGGAACACTGGCTTCTCTCTTGGTAGCTGGTAGGTAGTGAGGTCATTTCAAGGCAATACCAGCCCTTGAATGTTACTAGAGAAAAGGCAGGACACAGGAGCAAAGAAGCAATAACAAATAGTTTGCGTCACGCTGTGTACATGCTGGCAGCTGATAATTCTTAGTGTTAAGTCTTCATTTTGAGTCCTCTTGCACACCCTTTTGAAGAGAGGGGAAAAAAGACGTCTGGCTTATGTCTCCATAAGAGGCATTGTGGAAAACACAATTTGTTTATATGATGATCACATTAGACGAAGATTTATGCTTTTGTATAGTGATAAAATATTTTTGGAAAACACTATTTAAATGAAAAGTTTAGTCTTGCTAGGTCAAATATGACAGTTTAGGTTTTATCTTTGTATCTAATCTTGCACTCATATTGCTGTAGCATGTTTGCTAGGTGGCTTGTTTTCCCTTTGATGTATTAATTTTTTTTTTTTTTTTTTTTTGCATTTCTGGGCTTTTTGCCCTGCAAGAAGCTTTATTCTTACTGAATCTGCACATTTTGCACTGCAAAATTTCTGACACGCTCCTCTGTAACTCTTTGCCATTAAGAGCAAGCACCATTCACAAAACCCCATCACTTCCAGAGTCATAACAGCTTTTTGAGTGTTTTACTCACTCTGTTCCTTGATGCTTCACAAGTGGATGCAATTCTGAAACTTCCAGTAAATTTAGTTTCCTTATCTTCTTAGACAAATATAACACTTCTTGTCTTTCAACAGCTCTGCAAAGGCAGAAAAATTTGCCTCGTGCTGCCTTCAAAACCAAACAGTTTCTTCCAACTCCATCTGCAAAAGGAGGTAATTAACTTACAACCTCTTATCAAGCTCCAGCAAATCTCAGATAATTGTTCGCCTGCATTAAATCTCACATGTTCTAGATTAATAAAATTGCTGTTGCATGTCGAGATTACCCACGTGTTCTTTGCTATACGAAAGTTAAGTTTTTGGTCTAAATATTAAAAATAAACTCTGCATTATATAGGAGATTGTATTTTGAGATAAAAATCCAAGGATTGATGACTTTCTAGCATTAATCAGGAAATCTGTATTAGAAAAGTACACTCCTAAATCCATATTCATTACAGCTGTATTTGGATAGGGATTTTTTTAATTGCAAAATACAGTTTCTAAAGCAAAAGTGGTAAAAATATACATACAATCCTTTGTACTAAAACCAAAACCTAACAAGTTTATCCTTGAAAAGATGAGCATAGAATATCAACTTGTTTTGTGTGTGCTATCTACTTTCTCTTTTCTTCACAAAACTGGAAGGTTAGCCCCATGGTACAGTAATTAGATTTTTTTTTTTTTACTCAAGGAATTAGAGACTCTTGTATATAATATTTCAGTTTCCTAATGGCTGAATTTAGCTTTTTTTTTTTTTTGAAAAGCAAATGGAATATACTGAGTCGCTAACTCTCTTAGATAAATTTTATCTGATTTTTAATCAACTGTCAGCCTTTTATGTGACACTGCCTCAGTTTCACAATTAAGAGAAAATAAGATAATGATTTTGGTTTTAAGCATGGTCTGTTGCTATTACAGTTTAGAAGATCTCATTTTAAGGATCATATTTCACTTGAGCCTAATTCATAAGCTCTGTGGATGTTCCTTTAAGCACTGTAAGAGTCATTTGTGCAGACATGAGGGTGACTGACAGAACATACGTGTTCCTCTCGGTGGTGTAACAATGCTGACTTCTTTGAGTCACCTTCATTCCATGCAGAAAGTTTTAGCGAAGTTCGACAGTGAAACTGATTCATATGGCTTAACAGGAAGTCTCTACAGTTTTCCTAATACTTCATACCAAATAAAGAAAAGTTCTCACAGTGTTCTCCTTTGGTATAAGACCACCACTTCGATTCCTCTGCAAAGCTTTCTTGCTTTCTTTGGGGCTGACCATGCCTTCTTCTGGATGTCTGGAACACTCATTAGGTCAATGGTCTAGTCTGAAGCTGTGGGAATGTACAGAAAATTAACTATTTGTAAAAAATTATTAAGCTTAGAGAGTGAGGAACAGAGCATGCTGCACTGCCAGTTATGTATGCCAATTAATAGCTGCTGTCATTCCTTACTGCAAATGAGGACCCTTTCAGTTATGTGCTTTCTGTCCTTTTCAGTTATTTTGCTTTATAGTCCTTGATGTATTGATTTTCTTTCTTTTATCTGACATCCTCATGAGTATAGCATTATTTAGCAGTAATGAAGCAAGATTTTTGTCTCAGAAGAATGAACAGCTGAGCAACAATTGATTTTAGTTTCTTAAAATACTGTCCATTACCTAGCTTGACAACTTTCACACTGATGTTGGCTTTTTTTTACCACTTTGTGTAAAAGAATTCAAAATACATTCAAATAACTAACTCTCAGTAATAATACCTCACAGTATTTGCTAAAGCTTATACAGCAGTCCAGTATCAATCAAATCATAAAACGGTTTGGGTCATCTAATCAAACCACCTTCACCTTCAGTGAGCAGGATCATCTTCAACTAGACCAGGTTGTTCAAAGCCCCATCCAGCCTGGCCTTGGAACACTTCCAGGGATGGGGCAGCCACCACCTCTCTAGGTAACCTGTTCCTATGCCTCACCACCCTCACAGAAAATAATTTCTTCCTTTATATATATGTAAATCTATACTGTTTTAGTTTGAAACTATTACCCCTTATCCTATTTCTACAGGCCCTGCTAAAAAAACTCCTGTCCTTATCTTTCTTGTAAGTCCCCGTCAAGTACTGAAAGGCCAAAATAAGGTCTCCCTAGAACCTTCTCTTGTCCAGGCTGAACACCCCCAGCTCTCTCAGCCTTTCTTCATAGGAGAGGTGCTCATCCATCTTCTGTATCTGCTCCCAACAGGTCCACATCTTTCCTGTACTGAGATGGCAGATCAGTTTTTTATTGATTCCCATAGTTTTACCTCATTTGTTTCATGTTGGTCTGAACCATCTCACCATGATGGCTGTGATTTAGAATTAAAAAATAGAATTTATTCTGTTTTCAAGTCAGTGTGCAGCAGCTGGCCTTGGAGTGCAAGTCACCTAAGTTTGTAGCTTCACAGCATCCTACTTTCCCACACAGAGATCTTGAGCTCCCTGCCCACAATCCAGGACAGAAATCTAAATGTCAAGACTGCACAGTGCCTTTTTTTTTTCTCTCTCTCCTCTTTTTTTTTTTTTTTTTTTTTTCCCCTGCTGGTTGCCAGATGTTTTAATTGTAATTGGTTCTACTTTAGTTTCCAAGGAGATGGAGTTTGGTGAAGTTATTAAGCACAACCCTTAACATGTCTACATGTTTTTATTAAACATGGATCAGTTCAATACTGCACATGGATACACAGTTATCAAATAGTCTTTGACTGAGGCAGTGCCTCACTCCTTGTGACCCTGTCTTACAAATAGGCCAAACTGAGTTTAATGAACTGCTCTAAGACAAAATTCTTTATCTGTAGAGCAGAATTACTAGGCAGTTTGCCAGACTGCATCATGTGGACTCCTCTGGAAGACAATTCATTCCTTTATGTACAAGAATGAATACAGTTCTCAGCAATGTCTGCAGTGCTGTGCTGACAGGAAATGTTTTATGAATTGACAGCTCAAGCTGGCAGCATGGTAGAATATGGTCAGCAGAAAGCTAGAGAGAATGGAGAGGACTAATTTACTGGATGCGTACTTTCACTGGGAATGTGACAAGCTTTCTTCAGTTACAGCTTTTTGTTGCTTATATTCCATACCTAAAAACCCTTTCTCTCTTGTTCCTCTAAGAGGCCCAAAGCTGTATTCAGTTTTTATACACTGGTATTGCTCTGCTGGTAGTCACTAACATGGTGCTGGTTTTGTGTTCCAAGCAAGCGTTGTAACAAGAAGCTCAGTGATAAAAGCTCCCTATATTTACACTGTAGAGTCACTTGGAAATTCTGCAGATGTGATTGCACCAATGTTACAGGCAAGGTCATGTTTTAAAAACTTCTAATATGTAATTTATCTTAGAGGAGCACTTTGCTGCTCGTCTTGTTCAGACATTCTGTTGTTAATGCTTTCCTTAATCCATCCTCTGGCTCGATGCCAAGGTTTTTATTTTAAGGTTTTTTAATTATTCTCCTTGCTACTTAGCAACTGTCATGTATTTTTGACCCCTCTGCCACCTTCTTTTGTCAGCTTTTCCCATGAGCAGCTTCGTGCTGTGTTTGGTCAGTGGAAAGGCCCTTTTAGATAATCGAGAAAGACATCAAATCCAGTTAACATCTGTAATGAGGCACATACTAATCTTCCTAGATATCCCCTATAAGAAATGGCTTCAAAATACAACCTGAAAATTACTACTTCCTCTGTACCCCACTTAGGATGCCACATTCCTGTCACTACCTCTCTCTTCTCTCACTCCTCATGTTCTTAGTGGATCTGCCTTGAAAACGATAATAAAAGCTGTGTTAAGGACCAGCTTCTTTATACACCACATCTGTCAAAGAGGATGCAACTTTGGTCTCAGTATAAAACATTCATTTAGTTGAGGGAAGAATAGTTCATGCAAATTTAATACATGTAAACATGATTTTGTTTTAGCTCCATAATTGATTTGATTGTCCTATGTTGACTCTGACTAACCTTAATCAGCTTGAAAAGCTGGTGAAATTTCATACAGTTACTAAGTTTATGGGTTAATTAAGTATTCTGTTTAGTGATACATTATGCATAATTTGAAAATATTTCTCATACTTGTGAAGATTTATGCTTAAGGCTTGGCATTATCCAAGGACTGTTGAATATTCTGGCTTATTAACCTTTTCCAGAAACAACTTGATATCTTGCATACTAATTTAGATACAAAGTATTTGAAAACAGGTATTAGTTATACTGATAATTTGGATGTTTGTAAGAAGAGAAAGGCTATAAATTGTTACAGTTGTCTGGTTTAAGTTTCACAGTAGCACCTTAACCTCTTTGGTGTTGGGGGTTGGCTAATGTCATCCTTAATCCAACCCACAACACTATACCAGGTACTAGGATGAACATTATCTCTATCCCAGCTGAAACCAGGACAGCTGACTTTTTTCCTCCATCTGCCAGAAAATGTGGGATGTGACCATATCTTTAGATGAATTCTAATTCAGTGGTTAAAAAGAACAGCATAAAGAAACATCAGGATGCTCTGCACTCAGAATTTCATCTTGGAAGATTAACATACACTTTGAATTCATTTAAAGACTGTCTCACGCTAGAGTACTGTACTCTGCAACATTTTCTTTCAGGATGGAAATTAGGGTCACGTGTTTCTGAAGCAGTTAAATTTCTTCTTAACCAATACCTTCTCCTCTGTTTCTTTTGATTTGATTGATATAATGGTTATAGCCTTATTAAGATTACTTACAAATCCAGATAAATAAATATTTGTAGTAAGCAAACGGGGCATTAGAGTTATATCAAAAACACATGACAAAGAAGACATCTGAATTCCTGTTTCTCATTGCTGCTTGATTGGCTGTATTCCATTATACATTCCATATTGTTTGTATAATCTCATAAAGTAATTTCCAGTTTTTAATTTCAGTTATACTGTCATTTAAGCTGAAAGTAATTTCTGTATTTCATTTTCCAGTACCTTCTTCAAGTAAATTCCGCTCACCTGCGGCCCCGTCTCCCCTGGCTCTGCGACAGCCAGTGAAAGCATTTAGTAACCATGGACCCGGTTCGGTTGCCTCTCCAGAAGTCACACAGCTGACGCACAGTAGTTCTTCGCCGGGGCCTCTTGCAGCCCAGAGCTCAGGCTTGCCAAGCCCTGCCAGCAGTATTAACAGTACTACTCTCACCAGACCGGCAGGGATGAGGAGTGGTTTGCCCAGACCCAGTGCCCCTTCCACGGGGGGCATCCCAGTGCCTCGTAGCAAACTTGCACAGCCTGTTCGCAGGTGAGTCTGGGACAGGCAGTCTTAAGTTTCTGTAATGGATTCTGTACATTGTGTGTTTGTGCTGCTCCTTCCTGCAAATGTTATTTTGATCTCAGGGTCTTCAGAACAGATATGGAGACCTCCATGTGAAGTATTTGCATGTGTTTCCAAAATAGTTTTGATTCCAAACTGAGAAAAAGGAACTTGAATGGGAGAGTGAAGGTGAAGGAGTGAAAGTGAAATTAATAATGTAAGATACTGAACTAAGTAAATAAAGTCTTAGTACAGGCTGAGAAGGCAGCAAGAATTTGTCTGCATGTGATGGAAAGTTATCAAAATATAGCTGGCAAATAAAAATTCACTTGTGTCACTGACATATTCTGAAGTCAGAACTATTTGCCTCCATAACTCAAGCAGTGGTACCGTGGGGAGAACAGTTCCTTTCCTTGGGCAGCTAGAAAATTCCAGAAGGAAGATGCACAATGACAGAGGAGACATCCATAGCAGATGCTAAACTTAAAGTAAAAATCAATGCAGTTAACCCACAGGACAAAACAGAATTTTCAACTTAAACATAACTGTGCTAGCACCCAGATGTAGGAGTTGCTAAACATCAGTGTCTTTTCAAAAACAACTACAAGAGAGACCGAGTATTAACTGTGAATGTCAAGCAGAAGCTGACACAAAGAAGCAGTCATCCATGAGAAACAGTAAGAATCTCCTTAAACAGAGAGGAAAACCAATTGGTCTCCAATACAGTAAAAAAGATAAAACAGTGGTAAATAGCAAAGTGGAAGAGTTCTGTTCTGCAGTGAGTGCTGGGCAGGGGAATGCCAAGTGACTGTCACAGTATCGACTGTTTTGCAGTCCAAGTCTGCGCTTCAGAGTATGGAACTCCGTGTAATAAAAAGCAGTTGTTTGCCAGGAAGCTGTTCATAGTAGTGAAGTGGAGTTGTCCAAATCACAACTTGCCTTATAGAAAAGTGTTTCACTTGTTGAACTTTTTTTTTCTAAATTGCCCCCCCCCTTTTTTTTTTTTTTTTTTTTTAATTTGAGGAAACAGCCCCAGGTTGCACCAGGGGAGGTTTAGATTGGATATCAGGAGAATCCTTTATTAGAAGGGTTGTCAGACATTGGAACAGACTACCCAGGGAAGTGGTGGAGTCACCATCCCTGGAGGTATTTAAAAGATGTGTATGTGGCACTTAGGGCTATGGTTTAGTGGTGGACTTGGCAGTGCTGGGTTAACAGTTGGACTCGATGAAGTATCTGTGAATGTCAAGATTTTGATGTCAGCAAAATGTAATATTCTAAACAAGGATTTCCCTGTTTATATACATCACTGAAAAAGTGGCCTGTTTTAGATGTCAGCAGATTAGGTTTGCATTTTCACAGGGTATAATAGCAGTAAGTTTTCTGCCTATTTATTCAGCCTTTTTTCCTGACATGGCAGTTGCCAAGATACAACACATACAATCTGAAACTGAAAATACTTCGGAGTTTATCTTGAGTAAACCATATTGCAGAGAATTGAATTCATGAAGTATATATTTCAATTATTTATGAAATGTTTTAATTCTTATGTATTGTAGATGGAGTCTTCAACAGTTGTATATGAAACTGAAAAATATCTCATTTCATTTTAGATCATTACCCACTCCCAAAACCTATGGCAACGTGAAAGATGAGAGTTGGAAAGATGGCTGCTACTGAACTGCAAAGCTTAATGCAGAGTTCCAGTGCTCATGGATGCTTCCTCACCAGGCTAAAAGACAGCTTGATTAAACAAACTGTTCAGATGTGACTCTTGGGATTTGTAAAAATTCCAAACCTCTCTGTCTCTAATTAGCACAAACTGGCAGAGATTATAAAGCAGCACTTTAATAACATCTAACATCAGATGTTTGGTGGTCATACAATCACTTCTACATTAAATTGCTATCAGTTCTGGGGTTTTTTTTCTTGCTTGCTTAAAATGTATCAGTATGAGCGTTTATGAGAGTGGCCAATGTCTGGGCAAAAACCGAACAAATGCCAAAGAAATGCCCATCTTGAAAAACAGCAAGGGTAACTGTCAACCTGCATTGTCCAAAAACATCATTTTCAGTAGAAAGATTGGTGAATATGTACTATTGAAACAAGGCTACATTAATCAGAGCTAATGTTCTGATTGCAGATTGCTACAGTGCTAGGGAAATGTTGCTTTTAACAATTGTATGAGATCCTGGTTGGGGCAAGTGGTACACATATCCTTCAGGAAGAGTCAGCAGTTACTCTGGAGGATTAGGCAGAACAGTGGGTCGTAGCCATGGCTTTTATCACATTCAAAGGTTTGAATGTAGCAGACACACACAAATGCAATAGTATAGATTGCATCTTTCCTAAGTTGATTTATTGGCGTTACATGCTCTTACATGTTTGATTGCCAAAAGGGCTTAGTATCAGTTGTACAATCTTTCTAACCTTAAAGTTCCTGGCTCAGGAAAGATGGCCTTCGCTACTGTAGCCACATTTTTAACACAAGGCTCAATATTTGGGGAAAGCTTTTTTAATAGCAGGTTTCCTTACAAAGGAAAGAGCAAGTGAGAATGTTAATTTGTTCTAATATCATACTGCTATGCTTGCAGCCTGCAGCAACTGTAGATGCTGATAGTTAAGGAGAAGGAAACACAACTATGCACTTGTAACATACAAATTCTAAGGAAATGAGTTGACTCTTGATGCCAAATGATATTCATTTAGGTGATGTTCCATGGTATGAGGGAGTTTTCTGTATCCTATTTTTTTACTTTCATCCATTTCTTAAATTGGTTTATTTTAAATTGTAAATATTTTTACAGAAGATATTGCCCATGTAAGTGTGTTTAAATATGTACTTTGCCTTACATATGTGTATCTTACATTACTGGTAACAGAGTATGAAACCTGCTATGTCTGTTTACAAGCTATTAAATTCCTCTGGTGGCTCTGACTTACTCTAACACATTTTGCTCAGAACAACTGATATATTTAGCATTTGAACCATTGTTTTCTGTTTTGGAAGACATCATGCAAACATCTGTAACTAAAGTTGTATTGGGTGGGACTAGTTAAATGGAAGGGATTTTTGTTTGAAGCTTTTTCAGTATTTTGGGTGTACAGTTGATTGAGTTTGAGAATGTGAATGGTATATCCTTTGTGCAATGACTGACAAACACTACAAGTTGGATTGGATGGTAGGTAGCCTTCAACCCCATTAGTATCTGAGTTTGGGACTGCTGTTGTATTTTGACTCCCACCACTAAGAGGATAACTGATCCTGAAATTCTAGCACTTGAATTTTAGGCCAGCATTAACATTTTCCTGGATGAAAAGCCATGCAATACTACTTGACTTGGAAGAAACCAAATAGAAAGGAGTGGAGACTTAATGTGCAGCTCTAACCACTCAAGCAGACTTTGGGTTGATGGATGACTTCACACCTCAGACCAAGATCTGTGCTAAGACTTTGAAGTCGGGGTATCAAATATACTGTAATTCAGTCAGATTTCAGCAGAAACTACCTTGCACCAGTACAGAGCAGTAAATACCACTAATCTAGCCTTGAGTCACCCGCTGGTACAGGCAGTGGATGTCAGTACCTCATGTCACTGGTCAGCAGAAGAGAGGACTAGATCAAATGTGCATATTCTCACTAAAGCCCCAGTTTATATATTTCAGCATTTACAAAGCAATGCTGCAGTCTTCATTGAAGAAAGTTGAATTTTAATTGGTGGATTTTATCAAACACTTGATTGACTTTTAACTTTTGAAAGTCAGTTTAGATGACGATCTTGGGGGTTTTACCATGGCTGCATCAAACTGTGTACGTTTCCTTAAGTTAAGTAATTCATCGCTTGGGTAAATTCAGCTTAAGTTTTATAGGGACTTTTTTTCTCTGCTGCTCCCCCCGAAATACAACAAATGACTTCCTGAGAAGACAGACTGTCTGTTTACTAAAAAGCCTTTGTGCATTATCAGTTTATTGATATCAGGAAATCATGGGGCTCTGTGTTTAGAGATTTATTGCAGAATTGTGGAAACATGGATTTGATAAAATAGTGCCTATGATTTACTTAACTTATGTTTGATATAGTAGTAAGGGTTTTATGAATGTGGATTACTTTTTGTGCCAACAGCTTGGAATTGATGTATGTGTGTAGGCAGAAGGATTTGTTCTGCTCCCAAAGTTATTTAATTTTTTTCCTGTGTTTGAATGTTTTTGTAAGTGTTAAAAGTGTAAAAAAAAATATATAAAATATTCTTACCACAAAAAACTTCCTGGATCATTATTTTTAAACAAAGTGTTTTATTTAAAAGTTTTTAGAAAGTTAGAGGATATTATTTTAGGACTTTTTTGTTTTTTTGGTTGGTTGGGTTGTTTTTCAAGAACTGTATTCACTTTTCCAGAGGTTACCAGCATTGACTTCTGCCCCCCATAATTCATGAACTGAGTACAACATTGTATTTGAGTGAAATCTGTGATTTCATTGACAGACTGAGGTGGACTTGTGCCTCTGCTGTGGAAGGACAGTGCACAATTCAGAGTGGTGTGAAAAACTGTATTCTGAATTCCCATCCAGTGTGATTTGTTTGTGCAGTTCTAAGTATACAAGCTGCCTTCCATTTTTGCAGGATTCATTCTCACTTCAGGCCACCACATGAAACAAACTTTTAATTTTGAAAACTCTGGAATTCATGCAGAATATTGAGCAATGTAAAAATGAACCTAGTAAGCCCTCTTGGAATTGCTAAATACACATTTTTTTCTAGCTCCTACATGAATGCCTCTGTCTTTGGCTCAAATAAAAGCAGGAAGTTTGTTTTGAACTTGGTAACTTTCTGTAATCTGCATTTTGCTGCAAAGCAATGTATGCAATAGTAATGTGAATGCCATCTTTGTCTTTTTATTAATAAAGTTAAGGCAGGTTTAATTCTATTTGATAGCCACTTAATATTAAATATGCTTAACAAAATTTAACCTGTGAAGCTGGTAATTAATTGTTTATCACAGCATAGGCCCCTGTTTATTAATTAATCCAGTAGGTTAAAATGTTTCCCCCTAGTTAGCAACACTATTTATGTAAAGCTGGCTCCACACCTAAAAGGTGTTTACTGCCCCTCTTTTGTCACTTCTTAGTTGTGCAGTCAAGTACCATTTGCCTTGCACTGCTTCTGGAAAATAGAGCAGTGTCAAAATCTCTGGTTATTAATAGTCTTTCGCCCTTCTCTTTTAGTAGGTTTCTGTAACAAACTCTTCTATATTAAACAGTCGTTTATAATTAGCATCATCACCATCTGGAAGGCTCAAGATTAGAAACAGTATTTCCTCAGTTCTCTTATTGTGGGGGAAGGTGTGTCAGCTCATTTGGGTTTGCGAGGTCCTGTTATATTTGACAGTGTATTCCCCTCTAGAAGTCTATTGCAGTGGTGAAATAAAATAAGCAATGAACACATAAGGAGGCAGAAGGCTGAAAATGCTTATGCTGCTGGTCTTGAGGTGACTGCAGAGCACACAGTTCTATCATTTAAAACTCACCTTTTAATGCAAATACTTCTGAGAAAGAAAAACAGGCGGGGGAAACAAATGTGACAGTGGTACGTCTGTAGTTCTCCCTCTCTTGTTTGGTAAGAACAGGAGCAAACTTGAGATTTAATTTTTCCTTTTTAAGTACAACAGGTGAGATGTGAGGTTGCTTTGATTTAAAAACAACAACAAACAAACAAACCCAACAAAACAAAACCCCGACCTACTCCCAACGTGCGTTTATGCTGCTGTGCAATCTGAGCCTGACACCTACAGGCAGCTGTCTGTACTCGTCCTGCTTCAGGAAGGTGAGGCTGGGATTCGGGTGCTCTCAGGGGCATCCATATTTTACACACAACTTCCCGGGAAAGAAGATGCTCTTGGCTTGAAGAATTAAAGAACTGAAAGGAGCCAATTCCACCAGACATACTTTACACAAGATTTTTTGCAACAGTATTTTCAGCTGTGACACCACGTAGTTGTGCTGTGTTGTCACTGTCCTCTTTGATAATGATAAACTCTGTTGGGGCCAGTTAAGCTCTTAGAAGAACACAGAACATACCTGTTGTGATTAAGCCAATTTGTAGCTCTTCATCAGGATTTAAAGGAATAGGTAGATAAAATGATTCCTTGCTAGCAAAGTTGGTTTTGAACTTGGTGCTTCATCTGCCTGTTACAAACTGAATTAAACAAATTTTAAAAAACTACTAGATCTAAAAGCTGGAAAGCAGATCCTCTATGCAGTGTGGCACTCTCACATGAGACAGAAGTGGATTATATCTTTCACCCGACTAAGACTAAACAAAAGAAGATACTTCCATTATAATCTCAACTCCTGTAATCAGCATAGATATAGGTAATCATGTAAATCCATCTTCTTTTGAAAATAGGTTTAGTAACTTACAAAAATAAAAAGAGAGTGGCACGTGATGCCTTCTGCCCCAGCATGTTCCGCCCTCCTTGCTGCTTTTAAATTATCCCTGAGAGCTTATTTCCACTGGCAGCTACAGCAAGGGAGATTCAAACGAAACACACCCACTGGGTGTGAGTGGTATGTGCATTACTGGGAAGGTGACTCTGTAGTCCATCCCCAAGCGGTGCTCAGCTGCTGGTGATCATGCACAGTGAGCGCAATACAGACCATATATTCTTTTCCATTCAGTTCTTTTCCATCATCTTTGCCATGAATTTCTTGAGACTGTAGCCAAAACTACAACTTTTCACAGCCCTGCTCTGACAGGCTGATTAAAAACCTTGCTGGTACCAACAGCTCAATCCAATGTCAGACAAACGACTCCCCCTCACCCAGCACGTGATCTCCAGAAGCCTGACACCAGCTGCCTCCACGCTCCTCCAGCAACAGGGCTGGGGAGTTTTTCATGGAAATCTACACAGTAACAGGAAGGTGAATAAGGACACTTGTGTTCCATGTTGTTCCCAACCCATCACATGCCCAAGAGAAAAAGGTGCTTATTAAATATGAGAGTGGGTCATCAGTGGCTTGACTTGGGATTCTCTGTGGCCTTAGCTGCTTAAAGCCACAAAGGTGATCAAGAAATATCTGGGTTAGAATGTGATGGAAGAGTGGTCAGGGTAGGGGGACAGGCATGCTGGGCTTTCCCCAGCCTTCTGCTCTTCCCAGGCATTCCCACCTTGGCCACGGACAGAGATCAGCTGCTGGGCTGCACTAACACCAGCATCCCCGCACTAGAACTCCTATCAGTCTCCTCTGTCTCAAGTTGTTCTTCCTAAGTTAATAGTTTCCCTTCAGACATTATCACCAAACAAATCCGAACAACCCATCACAAAAGCTTAGTTATCTGATCCTTACCTCCTTTTCACTCAGCAGGGTTAATACTGCTGTGTGAATTTCACAGCTGCTGTTGCTCTCTCTGTGCTGCCTGTGGGTGCCAAAATGCTGGCAGGAGAAAGTGATGCTGGACCAAGTTCTGGATTACAAGGAGTTTGTTTTGCATCCTGCTCAGGGCTGAGGGCAAGGCTGTGCTTCTGGCTGACTGAACCTGGAACACACCAAGTTAAAGGAGACCTACGTAAGCTTTCTTGTTCAGAGCTGTTTGTCTTAATGAAAGTCAGCAGGACAGGAGTATCTTGTTCCACCGTGAATACAGCTTTGTCACTCGGCTCCTTTAGAAATAAAAATTTTATTGAAGCACAAGCTGCCAAAGAAGAGGGCAGTCTGCTGGGAGATCAGAGAAAATATGCCCTTCTACATTTTGGCCACAACCCCCTGCAGCGCTACAGGCTGGGCACAGAGTGGCTGGAGAGCAGCCAGGTGGAAAGGGATCTGGGGTTGCTGATTGACAGGAAGCTGAACATGAGCCAGCAGTGTGCCCAGGTGGCCAAGAAGGCCAATGGCATCCTGGCCTGCATCAGGAACAGTGTGGCCAGCGCTGGTGAGGCCACACCTGGAGTGTTGTGTCCATTTCTGGGTCCCTCAGTTCAGGAAGGATATTGAGGTGCTGGAGTGGGTCCAGAGAAGAGCAACCAGGCTGGTGAAGCGACTTGAGCACAAGTCCTATGAGGAGAGGCTGAGGGAGCTGGGGTTGTTTAGGCTGGAGAAGAGGAGGCTCAGGGGTGACCTCATCACTCTACAACTACCTGAGAGGAGGTTGTAGCCAGGTGGGGGTTGGTCTCTTCTCCCAGGCAATCAGCAGTAGGACAAGAGGGCGGGCTTAAGCTGTGCCAGGTGAGGTTTAGGTTGGATATTAGAAGGAAGTTCTTTACAGAGAGAGTGATCAGGCATTGGAGTGGCCTGCCCAGAGAGGTGGTGGATTCATCATCCCTGGAGGTTTTTAGGACAAGGCTGGATGTGGCACTGAGTGCCATGATCTAGTAATCACAGTGGGGTTGGATCAAGGGTTGGACTTGATAATCTTGGAGGTCTCGTCCAACCCAGTTAATTCTATGATTCTATGATTCTATGATTTCATGCTTCTGCTTCAGCTCCTGTCTTAGCCTCAAATTTTTCAGCTCTGCAGTCATCCATTTACCCCTACACTTACTAACCCAACTACTGAGCCCAGAGCAAGGTTATATTGTTTCTGTTCATCCATTCCCCACCCCGCTAATGCAGACACATAAAACCACTGTTAATGCCGTTTCAAGTGATCTGTCTTTAAAGGAGTTATGAAAACCTTGTCCTGATGCTCTTCCTTTTAAAGCCATGCCTGGATGTCAGTGACAGCAATGTGGCACCACCACCATCACACAGCCTCGACAAAGCTGTCCAGAGCATCACCCTCCACCCATGCCTGCACATGCAGCACGGGCAGCACAGTCACGGCCCCTCCCCGAAATCCTTGCTGAGGGTGCAGCTGTGTAGCTACAGCAGCCATTGCTCACACCATGCACGGCTGGTGCAGCACCAGCACTGCTGATGCAGTGCACACAGACCTCCTGAATGCCTGTGGGATCAAAAAAAATTCATTATGGTGCAGCACTGGGCCACAGAAGTTCCTCAGTTCCCTGCTCTGCCATACACTTCCAAGGATGCCTTGTTTATTTTCTTGAGGCTCAGTTCATCACCACTGAAATAAGAACCAGTCTTCCTAACTCACGTGCTGGGAGCGAGGGGCAGGTGCGCTGCTATTTAGAGAAAGGGTCGGCCAGTCAGTTCATATCTCATCCGATACAGTGGGTAAGTTAAGAACAGAAATTTAGTTGACCTCAGTTTATGAGCCCAAATGTCAGAGAGCAGGTAACGTCTACTGCAAATGTCACAGTCGAGGGATTTTTCTTTTCCCTTTAGAAGAACATCAACAAAGATTTAGTGACTGTATTTATGCTGCCATTCACACAGGCTCAGCCTGAATGGTACTGCCCAGGTGCACAAACATACTGGAGGAATATTAAAGGGACTTGCTTAAAATCATGGATCTGGTAAAGCACCCAAGCCCAGCTCAGCCTTCTTCAGCACTAAAGCAGCTTTTGGCAACCCAAGGCTCTGATAAGGGCTGGCAAATTCAGGCTACTGTCTCCAGAGCAGGACACAGCGATTGAATTAATATGTGGTGTACTTCTCATTTTTACAATTTATCCCCACATGAAAACTTGCCCAGGGGAGTGCAATACAGCCATCAGTGCGAGCTCTCCTGACCAACAGCCCACTGAGGGTAGAAGAAATGGAAAATTCCATTTCCAAAACCACCTTGCAGCCTACTGCTCAAGACTCCCTACTGCGTAGGAGGCTCTACTGATTTTAGACCTTATTTTTCCACCTTCACAGAGGCACCACATCAGCTTAGGGCTCCTTTCCCTGGCCCAAGAGCCTCAATGGCAGAACTGAAATACCAAAAATAGGGGTTTCTTGTTAAGGGGCTCAAACCACGTACCCTATGGCCTTGACTCAGTCCATCTCCCCCACTCCTTGCCCAGGCCATTTTTCTGTGCTG